GCTATTATTGAAGCAAGTGACTATGTACCAGGTTTAAAAATATTCAAGAAGTGAAGTCTATGTAAATTAGTATAATCATTGTTGAATCAGTATGAAGAGTCCTCAAAAGACTAGGAATTGAACCACCATATGACCCAGCTATCCCACTCGTTAGCATTTATCCAAAAGAACTAAAATCAGTATACAATATTAGTATGTACATACCAGTATTAATAACAGAGAAATTCAAGAACAAGCCTAGAACTATCTCTTGATGGACATGTCCATCTCTTGATGGACATGGAACCAGCCTAGGTGTCCATGTCCATCAAGAGATGAATGGATAGAGTGTGTATACATGCACAGTGAGTTCTAGTCAACTATAAAGAAGAATGAAATTAAGTCATTTGTGGATAAATGGATGGAAGTGGAAAATACCATGCTAAGTGAAATAAGCCAGACCCCAAAATCAAGGACCAAATGTATATCCTCATATGCAGAAGTTATAAAAAATAAAATACAAATAAGAAAATGTGATCTCATGAAAATAGAAAGATCGGTAGAGGAAAAGTAGAGGAACAAGGGGAGGGAACGGGGAATATCTAAGTGTCAAAGTCAATCAAATTATATGAATGTTTGAATATATCACAATTAATCCCAGTTTTGTGTGTAACTATAATACACCAATGAAACAAATAAATAAATACATGTAAATAAAAAGAAAGAAGACCGGAAAAAAAAGGAGAATGGGGAAGGAACAGGGGGAAAGGCAGGGAGGGAAAGGAGATACTGCATTAAATTATGTTACATGCACATATGAATACATCACAATGAACCCTACTAATATATATTAGAGTGCACTAATAAAAACATGAAAAAGAAAGATTAAAAATATAAAAGGAAATGAAGTTCAGTGACCCAGAGATCCATCCACAGGCAAGTTCAACAACCCAGGATAGAGGACAGTACAATCAGGCATTTTTTATAAAGGAAAAAAGAGCGGAAGTTAGAAGAGCAAGGTAATAAGAGAAGGTCCAGGTCCATCCATGACCAGGACTCCAAAGGGAATAATGGGAAGGAACACAGTTTCCATTTCAAAGACATGAAGGAGAAGCAGAAGAGAATGCTTAGGGAATTCAGTTGTTTGAGCACCTAAGGGATCTTGCTGATGGCATTCTCCAGGACTGATTTCTTTCCCTCTTCCAAACACCTGTGATTGTGCTGCATTTCTGCTTAAAATCCACTGATCGGTGGAAATTTCAGATAAACAACAAATCTTTTTTAGTGAAAGTATGTCCCAAATATAACCTGGGTATCCTATGTTTTTTATTTATTATTTATTATATCTGGAAACTCTACAAATGGGGAACCCTGATATGTATGGCTATGTATCACTGTAAATATAAAAAAATGGCACCTCTAGAATTGTGCAATATTCAACTTATACAACTAAATGTAGCCACACTGCTTGAAGAGCAATACAACCCCAGCTGCAAATGCCAGTGCATGTTTTCAGTGACAGCAACTCTTCGCTAACGTTTCTATAAAACGCCAAACTACCTAATCATGTAATGTGCCCAAAAGTTGTGATATGCCCGTATGCAAGTAAAAATCTAAGAAAAGTTAGTCATTGATTAGTTTGAGATAGTGCATTGTTATTTTTTTATCATCTTCATCTGACACTGGATCATATTTATTCTCAAGAAAAAAAAAAGATCTGTTTCAATAAAGAATTAGTATTTAGTATATCACCTACACCTAGAATTATAAATGAGGACTTTATGGATGTAATGACAGTGTAATCCCAAGGGAACAATTAGCTAGTGGTGACATTTCAGACACTAATTGTAAAGATATCTTGCCTAGTATTGAAGTCTAATAACTAGTGGATGGTAAGGTCAAACTTTCACCAAAAATGAATAATTGACTATTTGTCAAAAGACTAAAGGAGGTCAAATTTTCTCCAACAAATTCTGCACACTCTGAGGTTTGATTTTAAACTTTCAAAAAAAAAATACTTGATGTGGTTGGCTCCCTGAATACAGATTGATTTCTTAAGAATAGTCTCCTATTAAACTACCATACAAGAGATCAATGCATAGAGCTACAAATGGATAACTGTCTAATTTATGAAGAATACGTTCATTAGAAACCAACATATTCTATATTTGAAGTCAGATATTTGTTTCTGTGACAGCATTTATTGAATAGAAATACTGTACTATGCATAAGTGAATTACTCACCATCTCTGCTCTTGTATCTCACTGGCTGATAAGAGGAGAGCGCATGAGAAACTTTGAGCAAATTGGTGGATAGGGTGGAAAGAAAGGAGAAAGGAGCATCCAGGAAGACATGACACATCTGATGAAATAAGTATAATTCCACATAATTAATCATAAAATACCAGAGGGGAAGTAGTGGAAGACAAAGATAGGGAAATGAACAAGAGCCCAATCAAGAAGAGTCTTACAAGCCTTCTTAGGCTGTTGATCTTTCCTTAACACTAATGCAGATTTTAAGAAGTTTAATTAATCTGAAAGATTAGCTTGCTGATTGTGTGGAGAAGGGATTGGAACAAAGGGCAGCAAGATAACAGATAGGACTTTCTGCTGTTGCCTAGGTGAGAACTGACCCTGGAACTAGGAATATGACAGTAAACCTGGAAGGAATAAATGTAGGTGGAATGTTTAGGAGATGTGATCTATGGGACTCAGCAATTAATTTTAAGTGTGAGGTAAAAAAAGATAGAATCAAAGAAAGTACACTCTATTGTTAGGAGAAGCAGAAAATTAAAGTGAAGGAAAAGAAAACGCGTTTAGTGGTATACTTGCTGGGTTTCAGTTATTAGAGCAAACAAAAATCCAACAAAGAAGTATTTTGATTTGAGCTGAGGTTTAGGGAATGAATCTGGAATAAAGACTTAGATTAGTGCCTCATTATAGATATCACCAGGAATAATAACATTACCCAGAAAGAATATATTGGAGTAATGACAGATAGACCTACATGTGAGGAACATTAACACTTAACTTACAAGCAAAAGTAAAAAGAACCTGAAATAAGAGATGTCAGGACAAATGGAGGAGAAACTGAGATATAATAAAAAAGCAAATGAAAAAGAAACCATCACCAAAAATCAAATACCTAGATAAAGGCCAAGGAAATCCCTACAGGATTTGGAAAGAAAGACATTTTTAAAAAAGGAAAAACATTGTTAGAAATAGAAATAAGAGGATCTTCCAGGGACAATAAGTATGAACATGCAAGTGGTGGATCATAAAGTGAGTAGAAAAAGAAGTGGAACTGGTGTGAGTTCAGGCAACTCTTCCCTTACACTAGTTTACGTCAGGGAAGAGAAATATGTCACAGGATATTAATGACAAAGTGTCATTTATGTGTGAATAGGTTTTGCAGGTTTGACTCATCTGTCCATTAGTTATTAACATGGAGAGAGTTGACCACTTTTTGCACAGATAAGAAAAAGGATGAAGATGCTTAGTTATCTATAGAATGTTCCACAAGGTTCCCATGAGGTGAAGAGAATAGAATCTAGGACATAATTAAGAATCTCATTAAATGATTTTCTAGTGCTGCCGTAACAAAATACCACAAACTGGGTATTTAAAAACAAGACTCTCACTCTCCTTATACTGCCGGCAGCTAGAAGTCTGAAATCAAGGTATCTGCAGGGTTGGTTCCTTCTGATGGCTGTGAGAGGAGAATCAGTTCCAGGTCCGTCTTCCTGGCTTGCACATAGCCATCTTCTCCCTGTGTCTCTTCACATTATCTTCCCTCTATGTGTGTCTGTGTCCAATAACCTTTTTTGATCAGGACACCAATCATGTTGGATTAGCCGCTCACCCTACTCCTGGATGAGCTCATCATAACTGACATAGCTACATTGGCAATGGCCCTATTTCCAAAACAGATCATATTATGAGGTCCTGGGAACTAGCACTTCAATATGTGGATTTGGTGCAGAGATTCAACTCAACCTGTAACAGATGGAAAGCAAGACATTTGTTCCACTGATATTAGAAGAAAAGAGAAAGCATCACTGTGTGAGTCTGCAGATTTTATGGCAGGAAATTTAGGAATTTCCATCTGCGTTTTGTATTCTCTGAAGTGGAGACAAAGTCATTGGCAGAGGAGACAGAGTTGGAAGTTAAAATATCCTAAGGGAGGTTTGAAAGAGCCACTGCACAGAATGAGAGAGACGGCTGACCAGGCAGCCTGTGAGGCAGCTTTGACAGTTACTGCATCAGACTATAAGTAGAGGAAATAATCAATTATTCAGTGTGCCCTTTATATAATAATGTAAAATCTCCTGGGGGAGGCTACTTTGGTTATATAATGGCTTACAACAAAATGTGTGACAATTCAGTAAAGAAAAGCTCTTCTCAGATTCACCAATCAGCCATTCATTTGGAGCTTGAGTTCAATGCCAGTTTGTGATCATCCCTATTTTTATAGATGAAATTATATATAACTGGAATTTCCATTAAAGTATTTGATGTAATATGTTTCCTCCCCTAAGTTGTTCTCTAAAGAGAGAGATCACCTTATACATCTCTCTGGTTCTAAATACCCCAAACCTTCCTCCATGCCAGAGATTGCAGCAGGCACCCAGTAACAGATGGAAACTTCAGTAGTGGTTACTGGATGAGTGAGTATCTGTGTCCTGCGAGGAGTAATTTTTCTCAGAAAGCCTGTCCAAAGATGTATCTTTTCTCAAAGAGGGAGGTGTAAGATTCAAGTATAATTTAAAATTCCAGAATGTAAACATTTATGGTGCACTCTTGAAGAAATGTAACCTCATAAAAGATGGTCTGACTTAGGGTAAAATGACTTTGAATTAGTATTTTGAATGATTATTGAATTAGTAAATTTATAAGTTCTCTGCTTTTGAAATCTATAACAGGCATCTCTAAAAAGATCACATATAAGTGGCAATGTCTTCATACAACTGTGATCAGCATGTAGGAAATGAAGAGATATCATATTTTATCTTATTTTTCAGAGTGATTGTGTACTCAGTTTTTTCCTCTCTGAACCTGTGCAACATGCAGTTGAGGAACCTTCACTTTTGGACCTAGGCAAGTAGATATATCATTATTAATCTATGCAGTGGTTGAATTTCAATACAATTGTATAAAAATATCTAACTATAATATTTTTAATTTTCAAATTAAAATATCCTTTTAAGACCAAAGCCTTAATCATTTTTTCCTAACCATTTCTAAAGCATTTAACCCCTTTAGGATATGCTCTTCAAGTTGATTAAACTTAAGTGTATTTGTACAGCTGTAGTAGCTATATGTCACACTACTAATACATTTCAATTAATCAAGCACTGGGTTAAAATTGTCAGAGATAGAATTCCTGATTTCCCCTACAGGTAAGTCTTACAATATATATGGCAAAAATAGTGATCATGAGTTAATCTAGCAGATTCACTCTTAGCGTTTAATAATACTCAAATTTCTTTGCAGAATCTTACTGGGGTGCCAAAATAACCCAGTAAAATCACTCACCCTATTCTCTTCCACATGTGTACTATACTAATTCTAATTAACATTTCTATAATTTCTCTTAGATTAACAAAGACTCTTTTTGAAGGTTTTATCAATTTAAATGTTTATAATATAATTCCATTGCAAAGAGCAGCCATCCAATAATATACCAGTTTTTAATCTCAGGATTTCCAAACCCATCGTTTGTTTGCTTTTCACTGACCTTTCAACTCTACCTTCATTTTATCTACATTTACCTTCTTATTCTCTGTGTCTAAGATTAGGCCCATCTGTTCATCACCCCTGCTATGTCTGACATCCTACTTAGTAGTAACTAAGTAGACTAGATCAGGTTGTGTAGCATAATTGTTTATTAAGTTGTATAACTGTTTGCATCTGCCTTGCTTCTCCTCGTCAGCTGAAAGTAACTTTAAATCAAGGACTGACTTCTGCACTGTATGCTGCTCTTTATTTTACAAATTCTAAATCAGTGCAGGAGAACTGGACCTACTTTTTCCGTCCACACTTCGCTCATCATGTGACATCACTCTCCAAGATGCTTTGCTTGTATAGACAAACTATATACAATATTTAGTAAATAAGGCAATTTCTTATATTTTACAGCACTTCCCCAAGGAATAATTATGCCCATAGTATAAAATATTTCTATTTTTTGTCATAATTCACAAATAACTATCTTTTAAAAATACTGACTGGAGAGATTTTTCTGTTTACAAAATGAACATAAAGTATCCAAATTTTGAAAACTAAAACAAGCATGAGGTGGTAGAATTCTAGAGATTTTAGTCAAAAATAGAACTAGGTTAGTCTATTCCACCATTAAACTTCCTCAGGAAAATATTTTCTCTGTTTCAAGAAATTTAACTTCTGATCATTGTCAAAAATTTTAGTTTTGCTTATAGCATTATTTCTTTGAAAGATATTTGGAAATACATATGCAGACAAAATATTAGGATTATCTTTACAAGAACTAAAGTGGTTGGTTGAGAATTTTTTCCTACATTTTCAAATTTCTCACATCTTCAGTACTCCAGATTTGTTTCAGCAGTGACGAATGACAAAATATTTGATTCTAGATATTTTTAGATTATAGGCTACTTATTGAACATTACCTATTATCTTAAATGATAGAACCACAGCTTCCAAGCAGAATATGCAAATTGCCACAACAAACAAGGATTAGCAGGAAGTTGTTCCTTGTTCTCTTCATATTATTTCCTCTTTCATATCTCTGAATGCTTAATCTTTTATCATAGAATAAAAGTTGATTCTAAGCAAGAAGTACATTTATTTTAAGCACTATTCTTGTTCATGAGCTGAAAATTTAAGTTTGTGTTGTTAAGTAATTAAAGGGAAAAATTATTCAAGTGTATTAAAATACTGTTTTATATAAAACAACCTTAAGTAAAAATCCCAGAATTTACCATTTGATCATCTCTACCAGTTAATTAAGAGGTGGATTCTGCATACCTGTGCACGTAGGCACATGACCTTTAAAGATTATCTTAACGATACTGTGTCACGCTGGGTCTGGAAGACACTAATCATCCTTTGCCTTTGCTCATTAACTAAACTTGGTAGACCAAAAGAATTTATTTTTTCCAGTGACAATCCAATCATCCCTGTCCTCTACTAAAATCTTCCCCTTGGCAAGACCAATTTCATGCATTTGAGACCAGCACAGTCACAAAGGGTAGGGGATTAAGAAAGTCCTACACTTGGTTTAAAACTTTGGAGCCAGTTGAAATTCTTGGTAAGTTCTGAAAAGCTCTCTACAGTTTATTTTGCTCTAGACCTCACAAATATATAGCTAATAAATATTAAATTCCCTCACATGACATCTCAGCAGAATCTAGTACCCGCAAATTTCCCTTTCACAACTATCATCAGTTCATCTTCCCCTTCATTTCTGTCTTTTTCTAGTTCCTCAGTTAGGTGAACATCCTTAGTACCTCACCAATGCAAGCCTCTGCCTGGATCACTGGCTCCTATTCCTCTTTATAAATCCTTTCATGTGCCCTTCAGATTTTAACTCAAGAATCTTTGCTTTACTTTCCTGTGATGTTATTTCTTTAAAACACTGGTTTCAATGATGAATCTGGCACATTTGTTCTTTGCAACCTAGAAATCTCTGAAGGGATGATCCCTGTCTGTAGGCATACTATGGCATTCCCAAAGCCCAGCCCAGTATCTGGACTACTCTGGATGCTCAATAAATAATTCCTGAATAAATGGTTTATGACAGAAAGAACAACCATGGAAGATATTCTCTATCAACATAGTTTGTTTGTAAGTTTTATAAAAAGGACAAGAGACAGAAAATGAAAATTCAAAAGGATGCTGTTCCTTCCTACACTCATTACTTCATGTGAAAAGGCCCTGGCACAAGATAGTCAAGGCCTCCCAACCATAAGAGTTGTCTTAAAGTATCACCTGGGGACAAAAAGAAAAAGATCTTCCACAGATTATTACATTAAATATTATAGATGTTAGATTCAACCAAAGTACTAACCAGAAAGTAGCTAAATTTTATCTTAAGCAATATTTTTTAACTCCCTAATGACATGACCCTGTGTATTATTCAGAAATGGACAAGCCTCTGTGTCATGTAGTTTCGTATTACAGTAATGAAATACCTGATATAATCGACTTAAAAAGAGGAAAGGTGTATTTTGGCTCACAATTTTTGAGGTTTTGATCCATGGTCAATTGATTATGTTTCCTTTGGGCCCGTGGTGAGAAACTCTTCATGGTGGGATCATGTACATAAACAAAGCTGCTCACATCATGGTGGCTGAGAAGCAGATAAAGAGGAAAAAGGGGTAGGGCTGAGGTTCCAGTAGTCCCTCAGGGCTCACTCCCAATGACTTACCTTCCTCCAGTAGGTCTCCTCTCCTACAGATTCTACCACCTCCCAACAGTACCACGGGTTGAGGACCAAGCCTTCACCACATGGGCTTTTGATGAATATATACCCAAAACATACAGCTTCCAGGCCAAATAATACTTCACACACACGGAAATAAAATAATCTATTGGCTACCACTAAACAGCTCTGACATACAAAAGACAGATTTTTATCAAAGTACAGACATAAAAACATAGGCAATGGAGTAGAACATGTCGATGACAATTGTCAGGGTTAAGAGGATGAGTTAATGAGCATGTTTAGACAACATTGATAATTAAAATGATTGCAAACACAAGCTTTCAATCATTACCCCACATTACTACTTCCACTTTGAGGGGTTAATTTAAAAAGGAACTTTTGTCATTCAGTACATGGTCTCACTGGCTAATTGGCTAGTTACTTGCTCTGGACAAAGCCAGATTGATTACGGAATTTGATTTTTCACTTTAAATTTTAATGATATGCTGTTTGATAGGTGGAATAAGCTCTGGTGCCTATGATACAGCAGGGTGAACATAATTAACAATAATATATCTCAAAATATTGAGAAGAGAGAATTTTGAATGTACTCACCATAAAGAAATGATAAAAGTCTAAGGTGCTGGGTATACTAATGGATAACTGAATTGATCACTATCCAGATAATGTATACATGAATCAAAACACCACACTGTACCTCATAAATATGCACAAATATTATGTGTCAACAAAAAATAACAAAAATGTTAGTGATATGGGAGGACAAGAAGGGAAAGAAAGAAATATTTGTATTAAGTTGTTTTAGAAATATTAAACTTGAAGCTTTAAAACCATATCAATTTTTGCTATATTATAGCATATATCCTTGTGTTTTTAATTAGGAAAATATTTTAAACTTACTTGTGACTTATCTAGGAAAGATGGAAAGAAGACAAATTAAAGGGCTTTCTTTAATTACTTCATCGCTAACAGCTGGCTGTTGAAGGATATCACCAAAACCCAAGAAATCATGCAATAAATTTATGCATATGTAATGTTAGTGTTAGGGAAATGCTAAGAAAATTCACAACACTGAATAACCAGGTGGTAAATGCAAATAGAGCAAGAAAGATGATGCACACTGACTTGATTCTATTAAGTAACAAATACCATCAAAAGAACTAAAAGTCTAAGGCTATTAAACAAAGGTAAATACCAAAAACAATATTGCAACTTTCCTAAATATCACAAATATCTAAAAGTTAAAAAAACAATTAGTGAAAGACTTTCTTTAAAGACAGAATAACAAAAGTATAAAATAATAAGATCCAAGGGAAAGCATATTACTAAGTGTAAATGGGCTTAAATTATCTATTAAAGATTTTTTTCAAACTGGAGGAAAAATGCAAATAACAACTCTATAGATAATGTGAAAATATGTCTAAAATGAAGTGATTTTTTAAAAGTTTGAAAATTATAATATAGCTACAGGTATTTTAGGTAAATATAATGAAAAAAAATAGTGATTACAATTTTTAAAAATTTTTTTAATTGTAGTCAGACACAATACCTTTATTTTATTTATTTATTTTTATATGGTGCTGAGGATCAAACCCAGGCAGGGCCTCCTACATGCTAGGGGAGCACTCTACCACTGAGCCACAACCCATCCCTAGGGGTTACAATCTTAATA